ATACAAACTATTTTCTAATTTATTGAATTTTTGAAAATATGAAAGGAAGATCAAGAAAGTAGAATTTACACAGGATTATTTTTATAATCCTGTGTAAATATATATTTGGTAGTGAACATTCATATATAACTAATAAGCATTCATTTATTGTATATATATTTTTTAAATGTTTTCTTCTTTAAAAAATTTTACTTATATTTATGTGTCAGCAAAATTAATTCCCAGCATGTAAAATATATCTTAAACATAAAAAGATTTTTATATGTTTATATGTTTGATAGCAGTTATTATAGCATAAGATGATTTTACTTTCAAAAGAAAACTATGTGGAGTCAGGAGGTATTACAGACAAGAAGACATCTAATACTGCCTTAGCCCATGTTTCTGATCTATGTGAAACTTCGAGAAAGGCTGTTTTTTCACTAAAATAGCAGCTCAGAAAGATACGTTGAGAAATTGACAGCTATAAAGAGTGTGTGTTGTAGAACAGATTGAAAGTCCTTTTAATCAATATTTCTTTTACCCTTAGCATGTGAAATAGTCTGATACTATTGATAATTATTTAGCTTTATATAAACGTCTAATTGTTCAGAATAAAAAAAAGCTACCTATCTAAAAAAATATGCCTAAATAAGTTTTTGTATGCTTGGAAACTTCTTATCTTCCTCTCAGAGAGTGTAAGATTTATGAGATCTATGGAGCGTGATAGAAATAGAAAACTGAAGTGCTTTCATCATGTTCAGCAAAGAAAAGATTGGCTTTCAGATTGCAATATTAACAGAAGGAGAAAAGGAGGCACTGAAACAGATGAGATTGTGTAGCAAAAGGACTAATGAAGGTAACTTGACTAAGGAGGCTACGTTTGGCAGAAAAATAAGGCACTTCAGAGTTTTACTGTTTCTAAGAAGTCATGTTTAAGTCTGTCTTGGTTCAGGCAGGCCTGGAGAACTGAGGAGGCCCATTAAGATGGGTGAGATATGATTCAGTGAGAAAATAGGTGACAAGCAATGCTTGGCCTTAGACAGGAAACAGTGGCTCAGCGTGATTAGAACAGTACAACTGATGAAGGAACACGATTCTCGGGAGACTGGCAAAAGGAAGATTGAGTGTCAAAGCTCTGCTCAGCTTGCTTTTGTTTGGTATAGTGCCAGGGGTTTAGTGTACACAAGCAAAGCTATCAAGGCAGGACGAAATCCAGTTATACTAATTTATTGACATGGCAGTGGGAGGGGCAGCGAGGAAAGAGAGAAGGAAAAACAGTGGACTTATATGTAACCAGGACTCTCCTAAATGCCAGGTCTTTAGCAAGACTAATTGCAGAAACTATCGGCTGCTGTGTATGAGAACGCCCAGGTATTGACTATATTGCTCAGGATATGAACAGACTGAGCCTTTAGTTGATAAAAATTATTAATTTGAACTGAGAAATGTCGGGGAGTAAGGCGAGTATGGATATCATATTCTGAGGGAAATAAGCCCATCAACAATATTAAATGAGTGAGTCCTTAATATTAAGCATGAAGGAAACATTACAGTGAAAAAGACAAATAGATCAGTTATTCACAAATAACTGATTTATTTTTAAAACTTTTTCCCTATTTGTTTCTTTTATTTAAATTGCAGAGTCAAAACACTTGCAATTTTTTGTAGGTAAGGAGTACTATCACAGAACATTTACTATATTTTCCAGAATCCCTTGCCTTGTGCAGTTCTAGGTGAGAGCTGGCAAACAGAGAAGTATGTGTGTGAAATTTGGAAAACAGGAGTGAAACAGGGGTCATTACTGAAGATTGTCACACACCTATGGTTCCAAACTCTCTTTGACATCATCAGCTCTTCTTCCAGACTGCTGAACTTACTGATCAACATAGGCCCCAGGCCCTCCACTACATGCTTAACTGTAGACTCACAGAGATGACAGCCACACAGAGGCAGATCTCACCATGAGTTTTTCAAAGTGTTTTTGTATGATCGTTTGTATTTCTGCAGTGTCTGTCATAATTTCCCCTCTTTCATCCCTGATTTTATTTATTTATGTCTTTTATCTTTTTTCTTTAGTGAGTCTAGCCCAGGGTTTGTCAATTTCATTACCCTTCTCAAAGAACCAGTTCTTTGTTGCATTTATTTTTTCTAGTTTTGTTTGTTTTCAATTTCATTTATTTCTGCTCTAATTTTGACTATTTCTTTCCTTCTGCTGACTTTAGGCTTCATTTGTTCTTCCTTTTCTAATTTTTTAAGATGAAGCATTAGGTTGTGTATTTGAGCTCATCCTTGTTTTTGGATATAGGTCTAAAATGGTAGGCCTATATTCAAAAACCACTTTTGTTGTGTCCCAAAAGTTTTGATGTGTTGTACTATCATTATCATTCATTTCCATGTATCTCTTGATCTCTCTATTTCTTCTCTAACCTAGTTATTCTTCAGTAGTATGTTGCTTAATCTCCATGTATTTGTGGTTCTTCCTGCTTTCTTTCTGCAGTTGATCTCTAGTTTCAAAGCAATATGATCAGAGAATATGGTTGGTATGATTTCAATTCTCATATTTGTTGGGGTTATCCCTGTGAAAACAGTATGGAGGTTCCTGAAAAAAACAGAATCGGTCTACCATATGATCCAGCAATCCCTCTTCTGGGCATTTACCCCCAAAGACTTGAAAACTCATATCCAAAAATATATTTGCACACCAATGTTCATAGCAGCATTATTCACAGTGGCCAGGACATGGAAGCAACCAAAGTGTCCTAAGAAGCTATGGCACATATATACAATGGAATATTACTCAGCCATAAGAAGAGATGAAATACTGCCATTTGTGACAACATGGATGGACCTCGAGACAATCATGCTGAGTGAAATAAGCCAGACAGAAAAAGTTGAAAATCACAAGATATTACTTATATATGGGCTATAAACCTAAAAGCAACAAATGAACAGGACAAACAAACAGAGAATCATGGACATTAACAATAGCTAGTGGCTAGCAGAGAGTAGCGGGGAGGTGGGAGGTGGGAGGTAGATGGGGTAAAGGGAGTCAAATATGTGATGACAGAAAGAAATATAACTATGAGAGATGAACATACAGTGTAAATATATATATGCCTTACTGTTAAAACATATGGCTGAAACTTATTGGATTTCGTTAACCAATGTCACCATAAAAATAATTGATTAATTTTTAAAAATAATTAAAAATAAGGGTGGATGTGTCTTTTGAGATTGACTGGTTAATGACTTCTTTGTTCCTTGAATTCTCCTTCCTGGCTTTTGCTATCCAAACTCCATCCGCAAATATAAAAGGTCAAATTAGCACAGTAAATTCCTTATCTTATGACACTCATAGTGACTCTGCTGCTTTAACTGCATCCTGACTGAAAAACCAGGCTCTGTAAACATAGTATTAATGCCTTAATAAGTCTCATTTTTTTCCCCCAAACTACATGAACTGTCCTTAACCATTTAGATTCATGACTAGTATAAACCTTATTCTTATGATCTCACCTCTTTACTGATACAATCTTGTTTATTTCGTCTTTACTCTTAACATTTTAAGAAGTCAAGGGACTCATGGACATGGACAATAGACTTGTGATTACCAGAGCATGGGGTGGGGGGAGGGGGCAGGGTGAGGAGGAAGTAGGTTAGGTAAAATGGGTCAAATATGTGGTGATAGAAAGACATCTAATTATGGGCAGTGAGCCACAATTCAATATATATATACCTTAGTGTTGAATTGTACACCTGAAACTTACTGGATTTCATTAACCAGTGTTACCATAACAAAAATAAAAATAAATTAATTAATATAAATAAATAGTCAATTCACTCAGATGCCACAATTTTGCATAACAAGAAAATGTCTCATAAGATTAGCCAACCTGGAAACATCCAATCACTTTCTCTGTGATTTCTTTTTTTTAATTTATTTCCTTTTTAAAATTTTTTCCTAGTCTCCCCTGCAAATCTTTTCCCCTTTCCATACATTGAAGAATAAGAAACAATAACTATATATAAAAGAACCTAGAACCCAATTGACTGATATGTAGTAATCTTTCTTATTTCAGTTATGTACTTTTTTAAAATAAAATTTATTGGGGTAACGTTGGTTAATAAAATTATATAGGTTTCAAGTTTACATTTCAATAATATATCACCTGTATACTGCATTGTGTGTTCACTACCCGGTCAAAGTCATATCTCTTTCCATATTTTATTTTTCTTCTGAATGTATGTAGCTTGACTTCCCATTACTATTGACACTGTTTATTTTTATTCAACAAAAGCACTTAACTCTTTTCATACATACTGCTAAAGATTTTCCAAACAGATATGCTTAAGTGTACAATAAGAGATTATTATCCATACATTTATTTTAACTTTATTGTAATAATATCAAGGTGCTATGTGCTCCATTAACTAGCTGAAATTAACAACAAATATTGTAAGAACACATTTAATCCAGATATTATACTCTTTTCCAAGGGAGTAGAAGCAGTATAAATAAGATATGTTGTGTTCAAGTATAACATAGATATTTTTAAGTTTAGTAATAAAGCATATAGCCAAGTTCATACTGGTACTAAGTAAATATTAAACAACCAATCAAGGGACTGTGTTATATTCTTATAACAAACCACTCCAACCACCATAAACATGAAATGTCTGATGGTTGCTTACACTCATTTATTGATACACTGTAAACCTGCCTTACTTCATGTGCCTTGGCGAAGCCAGTGACAGCAAATTAAAGATATGTGTTCACCATCTACCTTTATTGCCATCTGAGACAGAGTGCTTTGGAAGATTCTTGATCAAAAGATCAGAAAGGTATATAACTTATCTTTTATATGCTACTTTTATAAAAGAGTGCATTTATACAAAGGCCAACATGTTCAAGAATAATGATTACCTTTTGAGGCCAAATTTCTTCCTTTTCTCCCTAAGTAGGAAGCAGTTCTTAGGAAGTGATGCCATATGGAGGCACAGGAAGATCCTCAACTCACCTCCTTCCAGGGATACAACAGATCTTTAGCTAGATATGGAGCAACTTCTTCTAACAAGAACCTGAGGTCTAGCTGAACAGCTATTCCACAACAAAAGATAAAAGGACAACATCGAGATGGGCCACTTCTTCAAGACTAGGAGAGATAGCCATTTCATCCATACATAGAAACAAATGCAGATGCCAGGCAATATGAAAACAACAACAACAACAACAAACAAACAAACAAAACAAAGGAATATGTTTCCAATGAAAAGCAAGATAAATTTACAGAAAAAAAATAATAACCTTAATGAAACTGAAATAAATAATTTACCTGATAAAGAGTTCAAAGTAATGGTCATAAAAATGCTCGCTGAACTCAAAAGAATGGATGAACACAGTGAAGCTGTTCCTTTACACCAGTCAGAATGTCTATTATCTGAAAAACAAGAAATAACAAGTATTGGCAAGGATGTGAAGAAAAGGAAACCTTTGTACGCTGTTGGAAGGAATATAAATTGTTGCAGCCACTGTGGAAAACATTATGGAGTTTCTTCAAAAAATTAAAAATAGAACTACTATATGATCCAATAATATTACTTTTGTGTATTTACCCGAAAAAAACAAAAACACTAATTTGAAAAGATATATGCATGTTTGTTGCAGCATTATTTACTATAGCCAAGCTATAAAAACAGCTTAAAGGTCCATCTATGGATGAATAGATAAAGAAGATGTGGTGAAGGCACACAATGTAATGCTACTCAGCCAAAAAAGAATGAAATCTTGCAATTCATGACAACACGGATGAACCTGGAGGAATTGAGGTAAGTAAAATAAGTCAGACAAAGACAGACAAAAACTGCGTGATTTCACTTACACGTGGAATCTAAACAAAACAAAAAAATGAACAAACAAAATAAAATAACACAAAATAGAGATACAAAGAACAGATTGATGGTTGCCAGAGGGGAGAGGAGTTGGTGGAGTGAGTGAAAGCATGAAGGGGATCAAGAGGTATGAACTTCCAGATATAAAATAAATAAGTCATGGAGATTTAATGTACAACATGGTGACTGTAATCAATAATAATATATTGCAAATTTGAAAGTTGCTAAAAAAGTAAATCTTAAAGGTTCTCAACATGGGAAAAAATTTTGTAACTTTTTTTGGGGAGGGATGGTAACTAGATTTATGATGATAATTTTGCAATATATACAAATATTGAATAATTATGCTATATACCTAAAGCTAATATAATAATGTTGTATGTCTATACACTTCAATAAAACAAACACAATGAAAATCTCCTAAACAAAAGTTTTTCTTACCAAAATGTATGAGATACAATGGCAGTCTCCATTTGGAAATATAGATAATGCCTAACAGGAGTGATAATTGGGGAACCAAAGGTTTAAAAATTCTTATCTGACATAGAGATGATTTAACTAAGAAGGACTGGGTGGGAAGAAGCAGTTTTTAAATAAACACTAATCAGGAAAGCTATCTTTTCTTATTTGTCAGCTGATGTTCCTGGAATTCCCCACTTAAGTTTAATCCCTCTTATATTAGACAATAATTTGCATTTATAAGAGAGAATAACCCAAATCGATCTTGCTTACACAGAGTTCATAGTGACTTAGGTAAAATGAAAAGTCCCCAGAGTCTTCTGGCTTCAAGTACAGCTGAATTTTGGTCAATACATTGTATCAGGTTTAGATTCCTTTTTCTGTTCAAATTTTTATCAAAAAGAAAGAGCCTCTTTATAAAATTAATGAAGGAATATAGAATTATTTTGTGCTTTGACTTAATCTCATTCCTACCAGGAGTACAGAAAGGTCCATTCTGGATGGGCTGCCTGCCTCTGGTGCAGGGGGAATATCAACTCACCCTAATAACATTTCCGTTAAAGAATCTAGACTTAGACTTAACCACAAATTAGAACATAATTTCTTTTAAAACACTTTGTATTTTACAAAGCTTAAATATAAATATTTCCATATTTGTGAGCAACATAGTATTTAAAATATCTAAACTAGGAATGTTTCAAGGAGGACATAGACAATAAGGAATTACAGAAAGAGTAATCAAGATTATAATAGAAATACGATTTACAGTTAAGATATCAAGTGGTTTCTGAGTCCTATTTACACAGATCAGAATTATAAGTTTGAAAATGTGTTGCATTTTACCCGAAATGAATTATTTCATTTTATTTTTTTATTAAAATTATTGGGGTCACATCGGTTAATAAAATCAAATAGGTTTCAAGTATACAATTCAATAACACGTCAGATGTATATTGCATTGCATGTTTACCACTCAAAGTTAGACTTCCTTCCATCACCAAATATTCGACCTCCTTTACCCTATTTACCTGTCCCCTGTTCCCTTTTCCCTCTGGTAACTCAATCCACTTAAAAATAAGAATTTTTCTGCTTCCTTGAAAAATTGCTTTGGAGACATCTTATCAGATTATTTTCAAATTTTCTTAAAATTATTTAAATGTTATTTGATCTCATTTATTTTGTTTCCTAAGAAATCTATACCTATTAACTTGCCAATGCTAAGCATCACTGATCTTCCTGTAGCAATCATCATATTTCAAATAGACTAAAAATGTTAATTCTTAGTTAGAATTGAAGTCTATTGTTTACCAGTTCTTTCAAAGCTTTGGATGAATAAGATATTTCCATTCTGAGGAAAAAAATATTGGAACACCTACGGAATTGAAATTATCTACCTATAGTTTAAATATTTGGTTCCAGTTTGACTGTGTACTCCTAGTGTGAAAGAAAATAAGTTCCTGATTTGGCTCGGGGAAAAAAAATGGGCTTATAATCTGAATGCTCATTAATTTTTCAGCAAAGGGTTAGAAGAAATCTTATCTCTATTCTGTGTTCGTTCAGTAAAATGAATTTTTGTATGTTAATCTTTCATAGGGCTTCTGTGAGCATGAAGTTTGATAGAAGTGATTTACTGTCTACTGACTTCAGATTCTGAATCTTTGTATTTTGTTAATGGAATTGATAAAAAAAATGAGTCTCTCCTGGCTTTTTCTTCCTTTCCTATTTCCTTCCTACTTTACCTTGGCAGAGATTTATTTCTACGCAAGAAGAGGAGTCAGGTATATGAACTGCAATAGTGCTTATCTCTCTCTGAGGTCACTGTACTGTATGCTTTTCCTTCTGTAACAAGAAAAGAATAGATTGATCATAGATGCGTGATAGTGAATGAATGTTGTTGGGGAAGCTACTTTTTTTTTGCACTCTACAAGAAGTCTTTGGAGGGAGGTCATTATTATTTCAGTTAGATGCTACAAACCAAAATGGTTTAATTTTTAGTTGCAAAGATACATAAACTTGAAAAGTGAAAATTATAAACATGCACTGTTTACTAAAATATCCCAAACTATCTTTGAATTCATTGTTAAATAAAATAAAGTTTAAAAGAAAATATGATCCTTAAATTAAATATACTGATAAATTATATTTTACCTTAAAATATTTATTTTAAACTAAAGATGCTTCCTTCATGAACCAGTAGAATATAGAAAAAAAAATAGTGTTAAAGGTTCCAGAAGTTGCCTCAAATGATCTCTTCTCAGTTTACACTTCCATTATCACTTTCTCGATACATTTACCTCTCAACAACCCTCCAGATCTAAAAGTGGTCTCCCAATTTTTCAAAGTATAGTATATTTTGTTTCCCTTTTGCATTGTTAGAAAATATATTATACTTTATATATAAATAGATTAGAACTCATTCTCACTAGTAGCTTTAATCATTTAATCTCCCTTCTTTGGAGACAAAGAATAAGAACAGCTCTCAGGTGACAATAGCAGTGTGTAAATGATTGCCATGTATCAAGCATCTGGATTTTTAGTTCACCAAGTATTGTATATTTAAAATACCATTTATATATATATAAATATATATATATAAATAAATATATATATACACACATATATATATACACATATATATATATACACACACATATATATTTAAATTGGAGACACATAATATTCTTCATTCTTGGAATGCTTGATAATATTATAGCATAACCATAAGCTGAAATCACAGTTACTTATGATTATTACAGTAAATAATTTTAAATAACTTTGAACACATGTACTTTTAGTATTATGTAAAAATATCAACATGTAATATAAACTATATAATATGTGAAAGATAGAGTTTAGAATAAAGTTCTAAAAGATAGAGTTTAGAATAAAGCCTAGGAAGAAACAAAAATAATAATAGAATTTGTATCTGGGTTGTAAGATTAAATTACTTTTAGTTTTCCATTTTATAAGTTTATTTTATAATTTTATACGATGAAGATTCTTGACTTTTTAAATTAAAAATACCTAAATTTTTAAAGATTCTTGATACAAGTGTATAAAACAATAAAACTGATTAATTATGGAGTTATTTTATTACTTTCCTTCTGTTTCTATTCTTCATTATATTTATCAGTCATTGAAATGTAATGTGTTGATTTTAAAAGAGAAAATAAAGTTTATATAAGCAAAAATATTAAATTATTTGTTTCAGATAAGATTCTACATATTAAATTTGGTGAAAATATATATCTTTAGTTTATAACTAATAACACTTCCTAATATTTCCCAAGTATGGTATTCTTTTACTTTATTTCTTAAAGGTTATATTTGGTCTCTATATAACATTAATTTGGGAGGATTGTTGTTTTTTAAAATACTAAATACATCTCAGAAATTGTTTTTTATCTATTTGCCTTTCCATACTCAATAAAGATATGGAGTCTGTTTTTAGATAATATTGAACTTAAGTAATATTGGTGGTAATTATATTGCAATGTTCCCTTCTTCATGATTCATAAAGATAACTACAACTTCGTCTTACGAATTAAAAGTGTAGCATCACTAAAATATTTCTTGACATTCCAAATTTTTCGATTGCACTTAAAAAGTTTAAATATTATAAAATATACTTTATACAATTTTAGTCACAATGTTTTTATATAAGATATTTTATATATTGTTCATAGTTAAAATAAGATTTGATTATAAAGTAATAAAGTCAATTTTTTGCTCTTCAAGAAAAGAGCATTTCTGTCAAGATTGAATATTTATAGTAAGTCTTTTCACATAATATCACAAAAAAGGATCTCGTGAATGATTCTACTCAAAGAAAAATGAACATATATATATTTATATCAAGGTATATGTGTGCGTATACACATACACACACACACACACACATGCACATGCTTTCTGGACATATATATCATATATGTGTGTGTGTGTGTGTTGTTGTTCTTGGAATTAATGTGGATTACTGCCAGCCACAAAACTCCGGTTACCAACTCATTTTTCAATTTGTATGCTAATACTTTGTAAGCACTATGGTACATATGAAAAAAGAAGGCATAATTGCAAGTCTGAATGACTT